GTTTCTTTAATCTCTCTTGATATGGAAGGTTTCTAAGTCCCTGAAATATTTTCGTCATTCTTCGCTGCACCGACTCCAGTGAATTGATATCCATTCTATAATAAGGGCACCAGAACTGAACAGCATAATCGAGGTGTGGCCTGACTAGCGCAAGATATAATTGCAATATGACCTCCGCACTCTTATTACTTACACTTTTAGATATAAAACCTAATACTCTGTTTGCCTTATTTCGAACATTAACGCACTGTTTTCTAGGACGAAGGTCCGGGCTTACAACTACCCCTAAGTCTCTTTCACAAGTCGACTTCTCTAGGTTGATGTTGCTAAAGCTGTATACATTGACAGTATTTGTTCTTCCAATAATAAGTACGCTGCACTTGCTGGTGTTGAATATCATTTGCCATTTTTTTATCACTCCTGCAGTTTATTTAAATCCTCCTGTAGTGCATTTGCATTCTGCCCTGAATTAATCTGCCGCCCTATTGTGGTCATCCACAAACTTGCTTATGTCACTGCTGATCCCAATATCTAGATCGTTTATGTCGATTATGAACAAGAATGGGCCCAGTCCTGACCCCTGGGGAACCCCACTAGTTACACAGCCCCATTCAGATTTAAAACCATCTACGCTGATCCTCTGTGTTCTATCGGTGAGCCATGATTTTATCCAATTTAAAACTTTCCCCTCGATACCACGAGTTTTAACTTTTCTCAGAAGCCTCTGATGTGGTACTCTGTCAAATAAATGCTTTGCTAAAGTCTAAGTAAATAACATCGTAATTTTCGTCATTATCTACTACCTCATAGACTTTCCTAAAAAAAAGGAGGGAAGGAGGTTGTTAACGGGTATATTATTGATGGTAGGACTTGTTTAAAGGGTATAATTGGTGGTGACTATTTGTAGTTGTGATAGTTGAGACAATGGGGCTGTGTTGACCAGCACTGACACACTCTTACTGGACCATAAATAAATGAAAAGCTGACTTGAATCACATGAAAATTAGCCCCTCCCCCTAGCTTATTTCATTTGATGATCAAACACCCTAAAGCTACCTGGGGGTTAAGTTAGTTTTAGGGTGAGGTCAAATAAAATGAATGCTAATCTCCATGTGATCCAGATACCTGAATATCCACAAATAAACACCATGGCTGTTGGTCTAAATAATAACGTTCTCTCAGTAATTCCTTATGGTGCTTAGGAACAACAGGACACACTGTAGCGAGACATTACAGCAAGACACATCGTGTAGCAACTCAGTGTGAGGTCTGGGTGACAGTAAAACAGCATCAAGTGGCTGTAACATGGAGGTCATGGACGGGGGGGTGTTTGACCGCCAGGCGTGATGAACTTGCTTGTTGTAAAGGGGCGTAGACGGGAGGGGGGGCGGGTGGCCGGCTGGGTTAGTGTTGGGGGGGGAATGGCCGGCTGGGCGGGTAGGAGGGGGGGGGGCGCCGAGCCAGCATCAGGTATCAAAACATATGAGCAATAATTATGGCCGCCAGTCCTCGGAGCTAGACACTAGTGGTTGTCCCACAGGATGCCGCAGAACCAACCTGTGACTGAGTTGTTTACTCTTGCTCTTCCTTGGCTGAACTTCCCTTGTGTAACCCAGGACCAGCCAACTTTCCTCCTCAAGTACCCACATTAGTGAGACAGCCATACAGGAGTTGCAATGCATATCGGGTGGCACGGCAGACTTCATCTACTTCTCTGGGATTGATAATCACATCGGGGAAGGCCTGCGATTGTTTCAGATGTCCTCGTGTATGTTTGAGAGAGCGCAAACGAGAAAGAGGAAGTAAGAGAGCGCCTAGAGTGTGCGTGTACCAATCAACAGTGAGGGTAGTGACCGTGGTTGCCAGCAACCTTTGCTAGCTGGGCTCTCACGTACGGTTGTTTCACGTTCTTAGTAGCAATAACAACAACACCAATTATATATATTAAATATTAATTTTTGGTGATATATCGTGGTAAAGAATGCAATCCTTGTTGTGAAGACGGAGGAGCGAAGTATGTAGTACACGCTCAGAGTCTTGTGATCGTCTGGCTGGTGTCTGCTGCGGCGCGCGTCCTCACCCCCTCAAGGTCACATGATGCGCGGATGACGTCACTGCTTGGCTACCAACTCCACCTATCACAAGAGCGAGGACGTTGGTAGGCGGAGCCGGCATAACCTATCAGAGAAGCTCACTCATGTGACGTAGAACATCCATAGAGAAAACGCACCAATACAGTTGTCGTAAAGTGGCGCTGAAGGCTAGTGGGATACGAGATCCTACGTAATATTTATGAAATTCTGCTGCTGCAACAGATCAATTGAATAAGCGGAGTCACGCGGCTCGGTGCACGACACTTGACGGAGTCCAGTAACTAGAAAACCACATTGGCAGCAGCAGCCTGGTGGGGTTTGTACTGGAGAAGGATGGCAACCGTATGGCACAGATTTACAGCCTGGTGCTGCTGCCTGGTGGGTCAAGGGTGATGACGTATGCTCTTGGTTACGGTAATAAGGATGACCTTGTGCGGTTGCCAGGGTGATGTACCTTAGTTTTGGCCGCGGTATTTTACTGAGAATGTGGATCAAGGGTGTTGGTGATGTACCCGTGGTCCTGTATTGTGAGGTGAGTTGTCGTGTGACGAGCGATAGTATTCTGGAGGTACGAGAGGTCGGATTCACTCACGATTCGTAGGATAATTATCCCAGTAACTTTAGAAATTTACTTAACATTTATTCACGAAGACCTTTGAGCGCCATTTATGTGAGGTTTTCTGTGAGTGATGATGAGTCAGATGTAAACTATCGTGAACACAGTGATGTAATAATCATCTCACTGATATATATATATATATATATATATATATATATATATATATATATATATATATATATATATATATATATATATATATATATATAGAATTGAGCGCGTGGCGATTATATATAAACTCATAAACCAGGTGAAAAAATAAAATAAATAATTTGCTTAAGCGCATTGGTGTATTTAACACATGTTCAGAAGCAAATTGCGCACAAAATCACCAAGAGCTACATGTTGTCTCTGCCACACAGTGTGTGTGTGTGTTAGCTTGATTGCTAGATAAACCAATTTCACTAGCGTAATTTTCGAAACTGAATAGTTTTAACATAATATTTATATATAACGATCTTACTTGGCTGCTGCCTTCCTGTACAGTCAATACTGCACACATTCATAATAAACCAAGACATGCCAGATATCTTTCTCACTGATTGATATCGTTGCGTGGTGTATTAACTGGCTCAGGTTACGTGCTGGGAGACACAAGTGACGGGTTATTGAAGCAGGAAATATATGCAGTAAGCAGCGACATGTCCCCATACCTGGTTGATGAAGCCGCCAACATAACGTTAACGACTAGATGTGCTATATTATATGTGGGTGAATTCGCCAACATAACCTGGCGTGTCGACCCTAATTGTCATTGGTTTACAATGATTAAGTTACAAATTGTAAATTAAATAAATAATCATTAAGGTGTGTGTGCCTTACTGATTAGTTTGTGTATGCTGTATATAAAGTACAGTATATGCTTTTGTGGAAATTGTGGGCAGCCTTAAATAATGTAAACTACCCAGCAATTTCACCAAGTGTGCAGTTGACTTTACCCTTTTTAAAGGACATTGTGTGACGTGTACTGTTTGCTATATTTAGAGTAGCTTCACTATTTTTACCATGTGCATGACGTGAGAGAGGATGGCATATTGGCTGCTCAGGTGGTGGGATGAGAACATTTAGCGTCGCTGCCGCCACTTGCCACCTTTGGCGTCGCACGGTGTCATCTTCACATATCTTGGCATATGAGCTGTTGTAGGCAGATCACGGTGACGGCAGCAAGGGTATTATCATACCTCTTATTATTACATACTTTAGAGAGCCATCTGGTTTAAATCATAACGACACGCAGGCGAGCGGCTCATCAGGTGTTGGCGTGGGATCTTGATAAGATTTTAAGAAAGTAAACGAATAATGCATTTGGGAATATTTGACAACTTGGTAGTAAAATGTAGCTGTTTAAGACGGAAGTGCTTACTTAGTGTGGGGGTATCTGGTGGTACAGTATAAGGAGGAAATATATTACTGTAGTCATAATAAACTTGGCCAGTCATTCGGACAACTTAATGGGGTATTTAGTTATTATTATTATTATTATTATTATTATTATTATTATTATTATTATTATTATTATTTATTGTTATTATTATTGCTGTATTATGAAATTCATCTTTCTTTCTTTGGTTAATTTTTTGTTTAGATTCTTAATGTTTCCTACCACTGCTTGCTGAGTCTATCTCGTCTGTCTGTGTTCACCCAACCTTAATTTTTTTGTTTCCTTGTGTTAGTGGATAGATCTTGACCAAAGTGCACAGGTTTATCACTATCGGGAAAGGTACATTTTCGACCAAAATTACCTGCTTAGACACTGGCTAGAATCAGGAGTAAGGGGATTGGAGTTTTTTTTTTATTAAGGAGTTTTTTTTATTTTGTGGTTCCGACATAATACGTGACGAAAAGCATTATTATTAGATATAAACCATTCATACACTATATAACCCAGAAGTAGATGCCTGTTGAGTTTTGTGTCAGCCACAAATATGTAAACCTGACACTACCTTCAACCGGTGCCGTAATTTAACTCCTACACTCTTTATAATGTGACTTTTGTCTATGAAACTACTGTACTTGTCAATTTTCTTTCTTTCTGATTTTTAAACAATTTACAGAATATATATTTCATGAATATACATACAGTATACTGTACTGTATGTCTATATTTGCCTAGAAAATGTATCGCCAACTCTCGTGTTAAGTCGCCATTTGTCAGTTTCGACTTAATGGTGTGTATTGTCCACTCATGATGGTTGTGATATTTTATGAAAGTTAATTTACTTTCAGCGTAGGTATAAATTGTTAGTGTAATACAGATACAAAGAATAAAACATTTTTTTGTATTTCAGGCTGTGCACGTGGAAGGTCAACTGGAGGCAGAGAGCTTCAGGTGCCTGTGGGTCGGTTGTAAGGTGTATGACAAAGCCTCGTGCTCTGTGTCGTGGTTGGAAAGACACGTTCTCACACATGGAGGACACAAGCCATTCAAATGTATCGTTGACGGGTGTGGTCAGAGATTTACGTCTCAGGTAAGATGATTGATTCAGCCACACCTTAAGACACCTCAGCCACCTACCTTTTACTGACAGGTGGGCTGACTCTCAGTGGTGTTGTTGCAAGTGCACAAGATACTTCATGTCAGATTTTATTTTATTATGTAAAAATATTACAGTATGTAAACATTTACCAAGGATAACACATAAAGTACCTGTTTTAGTACAGTTAAACTTATTTCCAATGTGGTTTCATGATTGTCTGGAAAGGTAAAACTCACTATACAGTACTCTTTCCATGTTATCTGGGGCCGGATACTCAAAAACATTTATGGGACTGTATGTCTTTGTGTACCCCGTAACTGGTATACTCAAAACAAATATTTGACATCGAACTCCGTAAGTTAAAGCCCATAACTTACACCAGCCCCTGAAGCTCTGTAACACTCTCAACCCGATTGTATAAAAAATAATAATAATATATGTTGTAATAATGCTTGTTCGACTTATTTTATCATAGAATAATGAAGAAAATGTTTTTACATCAACATACTGAAATATAGTATTTCAGTTTGTCTTTTTCATAAAATTTTTGTTGCAATAATACGAGGCTTTGAGTGTTTGTAGTTGTCACAGTTTGGAAGAGACGCTTCTTTGGTCATCTTACAAATTATAAAGTATTTTTTACCAAAACAGAAGGTTTGTATTGTTCACACTTAGGGTAAAAATATGTTTTATGACTGCGTAAACTTATAGATAGACCTTATTAATGTTGTATAGCCGTAAATATCCCTCAGTAATGAAAGCCAAATATGAGGTGAAGTGAACATTCCTGCCTAGACTTCGCCTTGTTTTTCTAATATAACACCAATAGCCTGGCCCTATTTTCTTATGTATATGGCTTATGTTAACATGAAAGGCTCTAAAGGTCAGCCAAAATTAAATGATATGCATAAAATATGGATTGCAATTAACTTGATTAATAGGGGCATATAAAACTCCTTTTTCATTCTTAGACCAATAAATGTTTAAACGTGGGGCCTACTCAATTTAGTTATAACATGAGGAATATTTAAATAAGAAATTATACCAATAGGTTAGGTTTGGTTATGTTATGGTATGTTAGGTTAGAGAATGTGTACATGGTTTTTTTTGGTGAGTGTCAGGCCGTCAGTGAGACACTTTGTCTAGCAGCTACCTTAGGTCTAGTTCCAGACTTTTCATGAACAGTATCATAGGGTAGAGTATTAATTTAAGAAAATTTACGGATAATCAGATATATTTTCAGGTTTTAAATTGTTGTTTTTTGTATGAACTTGAAGACAATTCAGACCAAATGACCCAAACATTGAAAGGAAAACACCATGTTTTCCCTAAAATTATTTTCTTTCTCAATTTGGCGACTTGCCACACCATGGCACATACTTCAATCTCACTGAAATTTGGTCGTTTCTTCAGGTGGTTGTCCTTCCATCTTTTGTTTACAAACTAATATCACGTGCATCGCTCTCAGCTGATTTCTCCTTCTCTTGTGATTGGTTGATGATTTTGTTAACTGGGTGCTGATTGGCCAACTAGCTCCTGCACTGTCATCTACCTTCCGACAAGAGAACTGAATTTACAGGGTAAACGCTAGAGTTATGATAACTTACGGACTGCTTAAGGAACTGTAATTAAATTTTGAGTATGCTAAATTTATGGGACTGTGAGGAGTCTGCAATATATGGTACTGTACCTCGCTGATATACGTAACTTATGAGGTGTTTTGAGTATCCGGCCCCTGGCCCTTAAGCTACGCCCCCCCTTCTATGCTAATAAGCTGATTGGTTCATAGAAATTTCAAACTAAATGTGTTTGCAATTGGCAAGCAGACTTGTTATTATCGAAAATAATGTTAAATATCTGGACTATCAAAATGCAAATCATTTCAGGGCATTTCCACTTCAGAGAGGATGTTAGAAATTTTTAAATATTTATTATAAAAGGTCGATATAAATACTGTACACGCTTATATATATGCGCAGTCGGGGGGAGGTAAAACACTCAGGGGAACCAATCAGCTATTTGTAGCTATAGACGAGGGGCTTGGCTTACGGGCCATGTTAGTGTGGAATACTATAGTTCTCAGTACTGTACATGAGTGACAACAAAGTCAGGGGATGAAAAGAACCACAGGGAGAAAGTAACACCATACACCACTTTTAATTCTAACATAATTGGGAATAATTCTATCCTAGGTATCCCTTTAAATTCAATGACTTCATTATATATGTAAAGTACAGTACTGTATTACAAATTAATGGGTTCATTTCATGGTTTTCAAATAGGGTTGTGCCAGTTATCATATCTGACAGATAGCAACTATCCGGCTTGTGGTTGTTATCTGGTATCTGGTGCTTAATGTAACTTGTGCCAATGATGTGGTACAGTACAGTACTGTAACAAGACAAATCTACCCAAAGACACCAAGTTGTAAAGTTATTTTAGATTAACTCAAATTTGCAGTCCCCAAATTTTAGTACTGTATAATAGAGTGCTTTATTGTATATTGTATAGCCATTTACAATGCAACTTGTCCAGGACATCATTTCCTTGGTCACATTCAACAAAATCAATCAAATAGAGTATCTGGAATAATTGGGCCATATCAGAGGTTTTCACCACATTCATTGGTTATGCATCTAGCAGTTCAACAACCAAGTGTTGCCAGTTAAGGAGTTCAAGGCACATACTGTACTGTCAGTCAAGTGTTGCCAAGTTTACCAAAATTTCAAGAGATATGCAGAACCCAAATTTTGAGACTTTACAGAAAATAGGACAAAGATAAATCTAATGAAATTCTCTGATTGCATAAAAAGTTACATTGATACAGAATATACTGAAATTTACTGTGACACATTGAACACTAGACAATATTGTGCTTATGAAAATTACTTGTTACCCTGTACATCCAGTTTAGTATACAGTAAGTTGTAAACACATTCAAAAGATATATGCTGTGATGATGCAAGTGAGGTACTGTACTGTACAGTAAATTGTTTTGCCTCTTAAAACTCGTAGTAAATACATTAAACATCGTTTGCTGCAATGCCTTTAATTCAGTTGGTTTAGATCTAACAGTTATTACTGAGTCTCACATTGCCCAATTTCTTAATTTATCTTATATGTTGTATGTGTAAAGTGAAGAATAAGTCAACCTAGAACTGAACAGATGGAATTATTACCTAAATCTTGATTGATTTGACACAATGTAGTTATGACACGAGATGAGAACCATGTGATGTACTACAGTGAGATCTCTCAGTTAAGGTCAGCTCCAAGGTAACACAATATGTACTTGAGTTTTTGACACACACACACACAGTACACACACAGTACACGCACAGAACACACACACACACACACACACACACACTATCCTGTCATCCTGGAATGACCCCTAAAGAGTGGTAGGATAACTTAAGCATTATTATCATCTTCATTATTGTACATTTCTTCATCCAGAATGCACTAGGTCGGCACGTGAACCACCACTTCAGCACAGCGGCAGCTACACCATCTCCTCGACCCCCCACCCAACCTTCACCCACCAAGTTGATACGCAAAAATGGACGCAAGTGCCGTTATAGAAAAAAGCCTTGGTCAGGTATGTATTATAATATGATGCATATGTCGACTTTATCATAAATATAGCAGTGTACAATCATACAGTAAAAACAAATAATCCATAGCAATAAGAATCTTTATAACAGCATTTTATATGTTATAACACCAAGATCTATATACTGTACTTATTTATTCATTATACTATATATGCTAAGATTTGGTATAAATAGCTGATATATTACTCCTCCTTCCTTCAATGCCACCAGACTCAAGGGCTAAAGCTCCAGTCCGTAAGTAATGTTTTATAGGAGAACTGGTTGGCTGCAAACCTTTCATTCCTTGTTTTTGTTGCCTATTTCTGCACCAAAGCTTTTTTGTTCTTGGGTGTTTGTGTTCACTTATTGTGAACTGTCTTCCTTGTATGTAAATGTTTGAATGATATTTTTGTTCATATGTGGAGTATGTGTGTACAGTGCTGTATATATATATGTGTGTACACACAAACACACACACATTAACCAAATCGATCATATAAAGCATTTTTCATAATTTGCTTACTGGCTTAATTGTCCCTTGTATTGTATTGTATTCTTGTTCGTTATGACTTTCTTTCACAATTTATAAGTTAATGGTACAGTACTTGAATGATCCAGAAACTGCCACTGTAACCCCTGCCTAAATCTTCTGTTTCTTGACTCCACCAGTTTTATACACAATGTAGAATGACAGTCACTTCAAGAATCATTTACCAAATATTCTGTTTGACTTCTGTGATCCACATTTCAAGAGTAATGTACAGTACTGTACAGTATACTGTAATGATGTTTACAAGAGGTTTAATATCCATGTGTTTGCTGTTGGATTTTTAAGTGTTAAGTGCCATGTCAGTCGCCTAAGGCTTGTAATCCTTGATAAAAAATTTGGCCTTAGAAAACAGAAAATTGGAATTTTTACTATAACCCAAGAAAATTTTATTAGAAAAAAGACCTATACCCCTGGTAGTATAAAGTTTCATTCTAATAATTCTTGTAAAGCATAAATAAAGGTAGACAACGACTTAGGTTAACATAATCATTGAACATGAGAGGAGTAGTTTAGGTACAGTAGTTTGATTTATTCCTTATGGCAGAGAATCGTTTCTGAAAGATTACGGTACCTACAGGAAGTACAATCTGTATTCAGTATATTTCTAATCTCTCTCTGTGTGGCTGCTTCTAAAACTGCTAGCAGCCTGTAATAAAAATAAACCATGGGAGTGTTGTTCAAAAGTTGCTCTACTGATGCAATATTAATTTATTTATGCAATATTAACATGACAGAGAAGGTAATATAAGCCTTGTCATCATACACTAAATACACCTGACATGACTTTGGTTTTATTTTTACTTTGAAGACTGAAAAAAAATCACCCATTCTTTTAATATGCTTATAGGCTTTCCTGCATCCTGTTTCCATCTCTGTGAATTTTTTTATTTATTTATTTATTTTTATTATAATAATTAATAAGTATGTGAGAGATGTTTAAAGAGAGGTGGGTCATGTTTATCCAGCAGATGTCATAGTTTTGCATGTGAGTGGAGGTCGGTATCATTTATATGCTGTACTGTACCCCAGTTGATATGGCTTAAGTATGGTGTGTGCGTGTGTGTGCGTGTGTGTGCGTGTGTGTGTGCGTGCGTGCGTGCGTGCGTGAACAACAACAACAAAAATTACCATCAACCATGAAAAATAATTTTAGTTTATGTTCAGTGGGTCTATCAGTTCTACTTATTAGCTCTACACATATTAGTTGTATTAAACATGAATCAGAGAGAAAGAGAGAGAGAGAGAGAGAGAGAGGGGGATAGATAGATAGCTAGAGAGAGAGAGAGAGAGAGAGAGAGAGAAGAAGAGAAGGATAAAAGAGGGGGAGTTAGAGAAAGAGAAAAATGGGATAGAGCAAGAGGGGGGGTAGAGAGACAGAGGGGGGTGGGAGTGCACATTACTCAAGATTATACAGGCAACATTTTCCCCCTTGATACATTAGAGTGTAGTACACTACTGTAATAATTATATAAAGAAATATTGCATTAGCTATTTTTTGAAATACAGTAGAATAATGGCTAGGGAAGGTTTTGATTGGACATTTACACTGGTCTCGATTAAATATAGGTTGTTGTAGAAAGGCCTTATCACATCATGAGTTTTTTTTTTTCTTCTTTGCACTTTGATTTGTTAGCATGAACTGAATCAATAAGCATAAGTGTGATGCAAAAGAAATTATACAAGAATAGGTCAAATACTGTAGTAGAGATCTCTCCAATAGGCACATTAATTTAGGTTTGAGAAAAAGATTTGTGAAATTCTGCAGGAGAATGGTAGACAAATTGTTCTGAGAGAAAAAGTAAATGAGAAGTGCAAAAATTGACGAGAGTAACAACAAGTATAATGAAAATTCACAGAAAGCAGAAAATGAGGTACTTTGGTAATATAATTAGAAATAAGGGGATAATGGTAGATTAACTATGGGTAAAATTGGGGGTAGAAGGGACAAGGGAAGGTAGAGGATTGGTAAAGACAGCCCAAAACACCTGTAAATGGAGGACCATGGTTGCCAACCCTGAGATCTATGGATGGTCCCTTGATTAGGTGATATCTGTCTTCAAAAGTAGTAGCCTTTGGCCCACGATATGACGGTATGTTCAGTTAACTTAAGCAGTAAAAGGTTTGAAGTTAAATCGCTAGAAAGATCACTTGGGTGTTTTAAGAAAATCAGCTTGGATAAGTCATGTGGTCGTATTCAGAAACGTGAAGCGTAGGGTACCAGTATCCCCATGCATACAGTTGATATTCAAGAAGTGTATTGCACGGCATGATCAATGCTTAGTGATATTCGTATGGATTGCCTAAGGATTACTGGAATGTTCATGGGAAGGGGGTTTTCCCTATTAAAAAATGCATTAATAATTTATGCATTTATTAGTACAGTATCTATATGTAAGACATGTTTGAATATACTTTCGAGTAATTAAAAAATAATGTACAATATTATAAAACAATAAGCAGACTTCACCTAATTTTTAGAAACGCTACTGGTGTTTAAAGAAACTATATTATCTATCAGAGCGATTAGACTGGAAGCTACGTAGATAGATGTTAAGTTTGGTAGGAAAAGTCGTGCATGCCGATATATGAGAAACATTGTGTTTGGTTCATTAGGTTATTTTGATTTTTCTATTTTGGTCGTTTTCTTTTCTCAAAAATTTTTCTGCTCGTTAACCTGCACACTTTTTCCATAGTATGTGTCAAATAACTTTTTGTAGAATTGAATTCTGAATAAATTTTCTAGGTTATTGTGCAAATTGATATTAATGGAGATATAAGCTTTTCAGTAGTCAAAAAGACCACCCATTTTCACAAGTTGATAGCCCTGGAGCAAGGCACACGGTGTGAGCAATTTGGAATATGCACTACTCCAATGGTGTAGGCATTTCCTACGGTCGTGATTTCCTCCCTATAGGGATACCCTATGCTTCATGATCTTGAACATTGCCAATGGTCTGGCAGGTTAATTTCTAGAGCCTGTCAGTGTCATGAGTTGATTGAAGTCTTCTCTACAGAATCCTTGCCAATTTTATAATTGTTTATTAGTGTTCTGAGACTATAGAAACATATTTCACAAAACTGGATGTTGGTCTATTGATAGTTTTAATACTATATACACTATAGTTATCAGAGTCAAATTATGGTTAGCTATGATATGAGATGTTGTAGGAAGAGTAGCAGCTGTAGTAAAAGTCATTTCCATCTGTTTTGTACAAATTTCTTAAATTTCTTAAATTTCAAGGGCTTTAGTTGCCATATTCATAAATATAGCCAAAAATTTAATGGTACAATGTACATTTACAACAAATTTTATTCCAGCTGCCCGAATGTTTGATATGTTTGATGTGGGTGTGATGGAATGTGTACGGTGGAGGCTCATGTGTGTTACGCAGATACAGAATGGAGGTGCTACTCAGCCTTCAAGTCAAACCTTCACACTGAGACCACAGGTTAGTACATTACAAAGACATGTAAAAAAGTAGTTTTAGGCATATAGTCTACCAGCTAGTGCTAGGTTTCTGCACCTGGGTGGGTGTAGAGTCGGAAAGTGGTGCAATTCTTTATTACGGAGCCATTTCTATGGCAACCAACATCAAATTATCACAAAAACCTATCTTCATTGAAACTGCTACAATTTTGCTATTAACATGGTGTTGAATGAAAGGTCTGAGATGGCTCTAAACAACCATGTCTTATTGTTACTGTTCAGGTAATTTGCATATAATTTTATTTTTCCATTTTTTAGTTTTCATTTCTGTTGTGCATTTGTTGTTGCATGAATGGATTTCATCATACAGATAGTGGTGACCTCCACAAGGAGGCTACCAAAAGCCACATCGCAGCAGATGAGGTCACAATCCAGGAGATCATTGAAGAGCCTTGAGATGTGGACATGAAGGGATTGTTACATTTTCTCTCTTTAACCTAGATGTGTCACTCAGAAAGACACAGAAAAGTGGGATACTACCATGGCTTGAGAAAGACCATGCCACTGTTGAACTGCTAAAGTCTAGCAAGCCAACACTGGGTGTAATTGATCTCATGATGTTACTTAGGATACTGACACCACGATGTGCATCACGTTTGATGAGCTCTCAGATCAGCTATTGGATACTATTCTTGGTCTGAACTGCCAGTATGTTGCTTCTGTTGGTGACAACTTTGCGAATGAGGAATCAATCATATCGGGTGAAAGATTCTGCTGTGGCAGTGTTCAAATACAAGGTAAAAGGAACCCAACAGAACTGACACCACTTCCAAAATAATGCTTGAAGATGTTGTCAAATGCAAAGAACAAGGTCAATATTACTGACTTTCTACTACATGATTGGATCATCAAGTTACACCATAGGCTGAAACCTGGCTGTGAGGTATACCTTTGCTGAAGGTGGTTCTAGGAGGCCACAGTGAAGTACTGGAGCTCAGTACAGGTGAAAAAGCTGACTTGCATTTTCTTCATATTGCACATGGGAAATAGAAACTGAGAGTAAATCGGTTACTTCTATGTTGCATCTATGTGTTCATGATACTGCTGGATGCATAGTTTAAAAGAGTGTTTTTTTTGCGACTGGTGTATGTCAAAGAAGGAGATTCATTCCAATGCATGTTGTGGCAAATGAACTCAGAGGAGATATGAGCCATATGCTACCTTCGGTTGTGTAGGAAAGCAAAAAAGGCTGAAGATGGTTGAAGCACATCCTGAATTGATTGGTGGTCTAAAACAACTTTGAGACAGTATCTGACATCACCCAGGAAACCAAGGAGGTCTAAGTGTCACTGGTGTGTCTATTGTACTGTGGAAAGAAACATGTGTTGTTTGATTTAGTATGGCACAAATTGTTTGCAAAGATGAACACAACAAATGAGAAACTGCCATGAATTTAGAAGTTTACACCGTACCAGTACCTGAAGGTGTCACCTGCTGGCAATGGGTGGATGATTGATGATGATTGGCACCTTGCACCAAACATGATGTTGCTTCCTTGAGTACCCAAAGCAGTACAGTGGTCCCTCGATTAATGAACACAATTGGTTCCACAGAGTCGGTTGTTAACCAAAAATTTCGTCTACCGGTAATAGAATTAACAAAGCATTAAATGTAAACTAAATACAGTACTGTACTATACAGTATACTGTACAATAATAAATAAAAAACAAGAGAATACTGTATTTTAACTTACTTTGAGGTGTGTATGTCGTATTCCTGGCAGCTTTGTTTACATATCAAACAGCTGATTGTTGAGGCAGTCGATGATGACATGTCATATTCTTTACAGAGTGCATTGGTTCTAATGCCTTCTTCATGTTTCATAATAATTTCTGCACTGTATATTATCAATATGTTAACTAAATTTCAGAATGACCAATAATTTTAATATAAAAAATGCAAAAATATTCAAGAGCACAACTTTATTGATATTTACTCCACTGTAAACGAATGTAAACATAGAACCAATTACTGTATTGGCGGACTAGCCGATCAGCTGATGCGCACAACAAAGCGTGTTTCTCGTAAGGCTGTCGTTAATCGAAGTTTTGTTCATTAATGGAACTGAAAATCCTTATGGGAGCTAATGCGCTAACCGAAATTTCGTTAATTGAACTGTTCGTTAATCGAGGGACCACTGTACTAGCATTTACTCAATGTAGCTACCATGCAGATTGTTCTATGCAGAGGTATAATGTCACAGAGATGATATGTTGTGTTCTGATTTATACTAATCTGTTTTATACTAATGCAGTGTTGAGAACTGCAGCAATTGGGAATTGAGGACTCTTTCTTTGAGTTGGACACAGATCCTGATTAAGATTTATAAAATTTTTAAAATAAGACTTGTATAAAGGACAGGATACATTATACTTGCAGAGTTATCAACCCTGAGAAGACCTACCTTTGCTTAGGGGGAGATAATTTACTTACACTTGTGTACGGGATCCCCTCTGTGCTGAAAAAAATCATCTGGCATTAGCCACATAAAACATTAAAAGTGGCATCCACATAGTGAAGGGGTTAAGTACTCAAAATCGTCATTTACATAACCCTAAAGCTAAGGCTTAATTGTTAATTTCCTTAACCTTCATTCCTTACAATGAAAATTTTTTGATGACCTACAGTAGATATATTTCTTTTTGGACAGCACCATTTTGAGCCACCAAGATGCAACAACAAATACACAGTGGAAATGGAAAATGTAAGAAATGGAAAAAATTCAAATTTTTTAAGGTTGTGATGTCATAATTATATGCAAATTAGCTGAGCAATAACAATGAGACATTGTTGTTTAGAGTAATGTCAGACCTTTCATTCAACACCAAATATGTATTTGTCATAAATTATTGATGGTTGCCATGGAAATGGTTCTGTAATAAAAAATTGCAGCACTTTCAGACTACAGTAATACCCTGCTTTACACGGTTCTCGTTTACGCATTTCTACATTTACGCGGTACCCCGCCAGAACCGGAATTCCCACTTTACGCGGTGCATCTACTCATATACGCGGGTGAAGTATAATTTTTTTAATTAGCTCATAAAATTCATACAAATTACCCGGCCAGAATATAATTTACATTGCTGGAATTCTTACAATTTGATGATCATTTTGATTATAAACATCATGGATTTTGCATTAGACATACAAATTTTAGATCTAATGTAAGAATTTTGTTTACACAGAGCAAATATGTTATCTTTTGTGCAAAATATATGACGTGTATATTCAAAATATTCCTGGTCTTGCAAGGAATCCAGCAATGTCAATTATATTATCCTAACTTTAGTCTGAGGTATTATTTATTACTAAAAATGTAAATATACTGTTTTAACCCAAACATTTCTCAGAGAGGGGGGAGCCAGCGAGTGAAGAGAGGGGGGGGAGTTGAGTCCATTATTTGAATGGACATTAACCTGGCGACTGTATTTCTCTTAAATATTAATTGTGTGTGCATACCATCATAAAATTAAGATGTTATTTTTACTACAACATAAGTATTGTGTCGGTTTTGTGTCGGAAAAGGTGGAGTTTGGGAGTCGGCCCAGTCTCTATTTCAATTAATCCCATATGTTCTGTTATTCCATTTACGCGTTTCCCGTTTTACGCGGACCTCTGCGGGTTCAATTGACCGTGTAAATCGGGGTATTACTGTACATTATAGTCTGCATTTACGCGGTCAATTGAACCCATGGAGGCCCGCATAAAACGAGAAACGCGTAAATGAAATAACAGAACATATGGGATTAATTGAAATAGAGACTTGGCCGACCCCCAAACTCCACTTTTTCCGACACAATATGTACGTTGTAGTAAAAATAACATCTTAATTTTATGATGGTATGCACACACAATTAATAATTAAGAGAAATATCAATAATATTAGGTTTTTTAACACTTACGTTAGTAGAAAAGCTGGGTTGGCACACGTGGATGGCTGGTTCCGAGGCAGAGGGCAGAATAGTTGCCCTCCAGTGAATCACTTTCACTACTCGCAGAGGTTTTCGAGGAAGTCCTCAATACTACGTTGACGACTAGCATTGATGTTGTCGAGATAAATTTGGATATACGGCTCCATAACTTTCGTCAGATGGTTATTAAACACTTCATACCGATACTTGTCTGGGTCATTGTCAAGGATGAGCTTAAGTTTCTCCCCCAACTCGATGATTTCCTTCACATTATCATGGCTTGGTCCAGGTAATTCAATGTTTTTCTCTGGTGGTGGGGATTCTGCGGAAGCCATTGTGTGTTGCGAGGGGAATAGCGGGCACAAGACAGAACTGTATACGCGGACTGAGAATAATGAGACAGGCCCTGCTAGGTCAGCGACTTCTTCCCTCTGGTGGCAGGGCACGTCATGTTACATTAGACCAATCACAGCTAGCGGCGGAGGGAATGCGTGGGTGGTAAGGATGCGTGGCCCAATCACAGTCCGATATGACGTCAGTGGTAACGTAAGAGCGGCCTAATGCGCACCACTCATCGCGCCGCTTCCCGCATATGGCCAAGAATGGACCTTGTGAGTAAAAAATGGCTCAGTGGTCTGGACCTCTCCAGCCGCCCGCCACGTAAATGACCAAATTTACCGTGTAATTAAAGCAGTTTCATTCTGGCAAGGCACGGCGTAAATGACCAAACGCGTAAACAAAAACAGCATAAATGCAGACTATACTGTACATCTATCCTGATGATGAACCCCATACATCACCCTAACAACTGGTACCACTAGACCTCTTTTGGGATTTGGCTGGTGGACTAATATTGCATGGTTTTCAGATAAACACACATATAAAGGATACATAAAATATTTTTTTACACATTCAAACTTTTATTTTCATATTATTTAGTAATTAGTTATATTTCCTTTTGATTTTATCATGCTCAAGTCTTCTTGGTATGGACTCTGCCAACTTCACAAAATAATCACCATCCATCCCCATTGTCCAAAAGTACTGATGATATGTCTTGTAGGAATCTACTGATGTATCAGTATCACCAGTATTGGCCCATTTTTGTTGTACAGGTATTGGTATCGGCCAATTTTCAGCCGATACTTTCATAGTTTTATTTTTTAATTTTTGTCTCTGGTAGTGAAAACTATCCATTTCCATTATTACACATATGGCAGATCTAACCGTGAGTGAACTACTCTGGAATGTAACTAGCAGTTTTTATTTTCTCTAACATATATTAAATATTCTGGGTCAGTAAATGCGTACTATCTTTGTTCACTGTACAATATTAATACAAGATGTCCCCACTCGTTGGAACAGCACTTACTTTGTGTTAGAATGCTTATTTGAAAAAAAAACTGCGATTGCAAACTACTGCCTTGAAGCCCCCAACCTCCCTGTGTTTGATGCAAAGAAGTTTTACTTATTGACAAAAATAAGGGAACACCCCACAGCTTTCCCTCTTCAGTAGCTTATTGTTCATAAGAGCTGCACTGTATTTCTTGGCCTCTTAATACTGTGCCAGATACAATACAGTATAAGTACTGCACTTAGATACAAATTCTCCTTTGCCTTGGGGAGTTTACTCTTATAATATCATAAAACATCTTTTTTAAACATATTAATGCTATACAGTACTGTACTGTATTTGTCTCTGTTACAAATATTTCTTTAACTCCTTGTGAACTGGATCACAATTTACTATTATTTTGACCGCAACTGTTGTGGGATATGTTTGGAAAATTTACCTTTGTGATCATACAATATTTGAGCATGAATTTGTAATGCTCCAAACTTTTTTTCATTATTATTATTATTATTATTATTATTATTATTATTATTATTATTATTATTATTATTAAAGTATTATCTCTGTTAGCCGTAATCCCTCAAACCTGGAACTCTCCGATAGCCAGAATTTAAATTTTCTTGGAAAACTGTTCCCAAAGCTGGAATTTTCCAGAAAATTCTGGCTTTGGGAACAATTTTCCAAAGGGGCACATTTTCTGGAAAATTACAAAAAAAATTTCCCAGTACCCGGGGATGGGGGATATTTTTCCAGGTTCGAGTGTTGAAATAATGCATCATTCTGGAACTTTCGAGAAAATTTTGACGTTACTCAGAAAATTCTGGGGATAAGGGATTTTTTCCGGCTTTGATAGAGTCATCTCGTTATCCGGAAATCTCTCATTTCCGGAAGTGCTCTGCACCAATTGTTCTGGCTAATGGAGATATCACTATATTTCAATTGTTCAGTTACCTATGCCTTTATTGAGATGAATCAGAAAATTGCTTTTCTTCTGGGCAGTGTAGTTACATCACCTGTACATGAGTCTTAAGTGTGCAAAGTAGGATGATTTTCCATAGTGAAGTCCCAACTTAAGATCATCTGAAGATTAGGCACCCTAGCTTATTGCACTTGATGATTAACACCACATTGCTACCTTTGGTGGTTTGGTTAAATTACATTAAGTTAGGTTAGTGTTTAGGTGTTTAATCATCAGGTGAAATAACCTGGGGCATCAAGTCTTCAAGTGATGCCTGCCTTCAGTTCTTTGTTTGTCTTGTAACAGCCTACCATACAAAAGAGAATATTCTGTATAATACTGTACAGTATAATGGAGTACTGTACAGTACTTTGTCTACCTCAAGGTGATCCATTTATGCGGTTTGACATAAATGCTCTTCACTTTTTGAACTTGGTAATTTTTGTTCCCATAGGTTCTAGCAAGACGGAGTTGTTCCAAAGGAAGTAAAGAGGTCCTAGTAAGATGGTGTCCACCAGGAGTGTAAGTACCTTGTGTTAAGTATTAATTGTTTTGTGTTGATTTAAGTCAAAAGCCTCCTGTGGGCAGGGTCATCCTAGCCCTCGGCTTTGAAACTACAAGACTGGGTTTTTTACCTTGGTGATATTATGCAATTAATTAAAAGTTAATAATATTAGAACATAAGAGCCATGTTACTGGTAAAACTTGTAGGTATAGGCATTTTTTAGTACTGTACAGTATAATTTTAACACTAACATGACCAGTATAAACATCACATACCTGTATAGGCTGCAGACTAAAAGTGAATAAACTTTATTGATCACTTCAGTACATTTATCTCAAATAGTAAATGTATGCAATTGTCAGACAGATGGGAAACCTTAACTCTTCCAAAATTAGCTGTCTGCCCAGGGCCAGATTGTGATAGAATACTGTCCATAGAATCTGAGAAATATCCACCCCCTCCCCCCTCTTTTTTTTCAAGCTTTATGATTGATTTTCATTGTGCAGTACATTTGAAATTGTGTTGTTAGGATGTTTGGTTGTTATTCTACAAGTACAGTATGCTTTTTAAATTAATATGTTTAGGTAGGCCTGCTCGAATCTATATATTTTCCACTAGCCCATTAGGCTAGTAATTTCTCAAATCTACTTGCCCACAGATTTTTACTAACCCAAAATATATTCCAAATTATGGAAATACTGTACCATGTATATAACATTTGAAGTGATTGAGTAAAAGTTACGAGATAATATTTCACAGGCAGCACAATTTTAACGCACCCGACTAGGTAATAAATATAAAATTTAACCTGCCTTTAAGATTTTTCATTCACCACAGGTGAGTGGGTGAATGAGTTTATGAATCCCTGCTATGTAACGAATTTGAGAATTTATACAAGGTAATTGTTTCAATTATTTGCAGACTTGCTGATGAGTGGGTTGAATTGGACCAGCTTGAAGAATCGCGGAGTGTGCCCCTAGAGCAGCTGTCCCCAGAAGCCAAACAAGCTGTTACTCAGTTATGCTTTCCAAGCTTAGCTCGGCCTCAAAAACACAGACGCAAATGCCCCTCATGTCCAAAATCTTTATCTTTAGATATATCTAAAGCAGTGTGATGTTAGGGAGAAAGTAATTTTTTTAAAGACAAAAGTTAGGTCTTGATCTCATTCCATTACGGAGTAACACAATGTGTGTGTGTGTGTGGTGTGAGCATTCCCCAGCCAGGTGTTGTGTTTGAGGGATGTTGTAGTGCCCACAGTTGGAGCTCAGAATGTTGAACTTGTCGATTATAGGAATCCAAGTGAATGGACCAAATATTGGACCAAAAAATGATATTCTGTGCAAACTAAAAAAGAAGCATGTATCTGTGTGTACAGTTGCCTATGTATATTTGTAAATAGTGTGAGAGTAGAACAACCAGCATAGTTTGTCCACTGCCAGGAGCTCTTATACTATTATTATGTGTAAAAGGGTCAAGTGACCAGTGTTAGGGTAATATATGTCATCCTTGTGAGCCAACATTGCTCCTCCCAGAAAGATTTATGGCATCTTACCTGAAAATCATGATGCTTTTTATTTATTGTTGTCAGATAATGCAAAATGTATTTATATTAAATACCTGATTTGTAATGGTTAGTAGTAATAGAGTCATAGAGACTGATTACTAACAGTAGAATAGCTGCCATTTATCTGTAAAGTGGAGTTGTAATGCTGATAGATGGCCACCCAAAAAAACACCACTGCCAGACATCAGGAACATCTAAGCCAGACCAGGCCACAAACAACAAAACGGGTGCCCATTATGTCTGTTTGTTTGTCATGTTGTATGTATCTAACTCGATATAGTTTTTTTCTAATACACTGTCCTTAACACTGTACAGCAGATCTGGTTATGCCAGTTTGCAGATAAGGTGTAGGAGGATTACCCCCACCTTACTTTTTCTTCTCTCCCCCCACCCCCCCACCCAATTTATAAGTTAGCTTCATGTGTGAATGTTATTTTGTTATTTATAAGTCCTCAAAGCTTTGGACTACAGTGGGGTCTGGCTCGAGATAGTTCCTAGAATGCCAACACTGCCCATTAATATAAGATTAATTATTTTATTGTATTTTATATTGTCTTAATATTTTATTTTCATTTCCTGTCCTTATTTCTTTTATGTCCACTTTATAGGGTTGTCGTGAACATTTTACTGTAATGTATAACAAAGCATTTTGTACCATATTATGGTAACTGCAGCTAGGTTCTTAGTCTCACCTGTTTGTCAATTTAGATTTACTTCTTAGACTCTTTGTTAATGTGATTTGTTTTCATTGTTTAATTTGTATACTTGATATCAAATTACCTACCATTTTATAATTTCCTGTACTCAGTTTCACGTCCATTTCCTTTGCTTTAACTACTCTTGTACTGTATAGAGGGTTGGTGAATACTTTTTGCCTCCCATGCCCAACATTGGTGCCATATTTATACAAAAGTGAACCCACCCATAGCAGTAATACATCACCCCTCCTCACCAACAGACAGACTTCAGATACGCTCAATGTGATCTCTTTGTAGAATGCAGGGACTTGTTACCCTGTTAACAAATATGTGATGTGGTGGAAGATAATTGTATGCCTCAGTAAGGGACATAGTTTGAACCATCTTTTATAAATTCTAGTTGTTAGTATTTATCTACATAACCTAAAAGTAATTTGTTTTACTCTAGTGGAAAATCTATACTATGAACCAGTGCAAACTTGTTACCTATTAAAATCTGGATATATTATTTATCGTCACAAACTATAACAGAACCAGAACTGGCTTAGGCATCCATTTTCTTCTACCTAGCCACAAAAATCAAGGTTGGCGAGTTGGCTCTTTGCTGAGTCGCACTGTCATACTAGTCACTTTGGGTTGTGTAGGGTTGAGAAAGCAGTGCTTAAGTTTAAGCTTAAAGATTTGTATTTTACTCATGGACTGGGCTACAGTACAGTATAGGAAGATCCTCACTTGTGATTAGAATATATAAAGGCTCTCTGTCAATGTTACAGGAAATGTAAAGTGAACTGTGCACTATTAATTTATTAATGTCATAGTAGTAATAGATTTGCTTTCTCAGGTTTCTTTTGTGATTTGTATTACCTCAGCTGTTTTACATAATCCTTCATATAAACAAAAAAATGGGCATTTGATGTTGATTCAAGTCAGTAAAATAGATTATTGAAAGCTCACTCAGAGCATGTAACTAAGTTGATATACACACAGTTTGATTAAAAAGAAAAATTAAATGAAAGTTAACATTTATATGAATTGTGTATATTTGCTTACCAAGTGACACTGCTTTCGAACCCTGCACCCCTCCATTCCCTTACTCCCCCACCCCCAACCCACCCACCCCTACCTTGGGACCCCTGCACTTCTCCGCCATGATTTTAAGACATTGTTAAAAGAAGCCTCATGTCCTGAAGCCAATTCATCAGAGCAAATGGGGTATTTCATCTGGCATGATATTGCAGTTACTGTATGAATATTGACTAATATGATCAATGTAATAAAATATCAATAATGATTTTAACACAACAAGCTTTGTAGAAATTAGTTACTGAGCATATTTTTCCATTTACAAATTACATTACATTCATTCCATGTTTGTTCTGATATTTTAAGACAACTTACTGTATAAAGGACTTTAATTGTGCTGTAAAAAAAAAAGGAATTTATATTACTAGAGATTGCATTGGTGCATTTTTACAGAATATTATGTTACCTTTTGAAGTACTTGTTGGAAAAGCTAGGTCGAGTGGTGGAGAGTGTAGGTTAACCCTGGGTACTCCAGGTATACCCACAGTATTCCCATATGTTATCATGTTCTTTGTTGATTTAAGTAACCCGGGGATGGCTGCAGCCTAAGCCATATGCAACATGTACATCCATTTCCCAATTTCATTTTCATTAGTTTTAACCTGTCCTGTGAGGATGTGGTTAATATTGTATTTATTTATATATTTCTGTGTCCTTTTTGCCTTCAGTACAATGTAACTTCAGGCTGTATTTAGAAGACAAAATTCAGTCAGCAAACTTACTCTTAATAGAGTATTAAGAATACTGAAAACACACTAACGGTAAATTTTTTGTGTGTGAATTATGCATCTCCTTTTTTGAATACTAAATATATGTTAGAATGTCTTATTTGACCAGAGTCTTCTACGTACACTTTTTTTTAGCTGTTGAACATTTATACAGCTGCTGTTTTGTTATTTTTTGTACTTTTCTACTTTATATACTCATCCTAAGTGTCCATAGCACAATGGGAAATAAGGCAGAGTAAGTGGAACTGTATTCATTATCATAACTTTGAACATGTGTTAGATAAAGAAGACATAGAAAAAGTTGTAAGAAGACAAGAGAGAGAGCACAATGGTCAAATAGTGAATGTGGGTGTTGTGGGTGTCACATTAGTCATTTAAAAGTTCTGTTTGTGGTACATGACACCATTAAGTTGATGAGGTTGTAAATCTGGGCAGTACTGTACTAATTATGAGGATTGTAGATTACCAGTTTAATGTCCCAGGGCTTTGCGCCTTCTGTACTTAATTGAGGGTTACCCTGATGGTTCACCAATATCTCAATAGGAATATCCAGGAAGGATAGGGCGGTGAAAATAGGGGAGTTTTTATTATTATATATCTGTAATGCCTTTTAAGTTCATAGTTACTATTATTTATTAAAACATTAATTTCCAAAAGTATTAACTATTATGTGCTCAATTTACTTTTGATTCTCATAGTTACACCTACATAGGCTGTGCTTTCATCTAAATGGCCAGGGATTTGTAACACAAAAGCCATGACTTTTAACAATTCAGACTCTTATGTGACTTCATTAGAGATAAGAAACCTCCAGTTTTCAAGTAGCTCTTGTCAATGAAACAATATGAGTTGTAATTTAGGTCTTATGATTCTATGTAAAAACTGATGCTCCTCTTGGGACACTGATGTAATGGTTTGTGTACATCATTTAACAGTTTAAGGACCTAATTTCAATCTGGTGACCAGCCGAAGAGCAGGTCATCACTGGCCATGGTGTGCTCCGAGCTAGTCACTGTGCTATCCTGGGATCTACACTGGTGTACTATGTCAAAAAGATGCCCACAAGTCCATCAGACAATTATATAAATATTAGTTTAAGTAGGTCCATCAGTTATGCAAGTTTTCTTTGTTGCTGCTTATTCATTCATACAGATACAAAAGGAAATTAGTCAGTTTGTGTCAATAGAAAACATGAAATCTTGTATTATTTACTATTGAACCAAGATGCAGTAAATTTATTGACTATGTCTTTATGAAATACTTCTGTAATATGAGCCATTGTCATTGGCTTCATAAAATGACTCCTCTTTTCACCCCTGATAATTCCTGATGCAAGATCCTAAATGGGCATTTCTTCTTAACCCCCATAATTTTGCTACAAGTAGAGCCCTGGCCACAGCATATCCAGTGCCTTTCCTCTGCAGTAGGGAACATATCACAGCTTCTTATGTTCTTTTGAGTCCCTACTCATCATGTAGGGCTGGAAAAGTGTGATGCGTATGAATTGTGGGTGCTGTTGTAAAATGCAAGTAAATCTTGTCTCTGAAGTTAGTCTGACTACATGGCAAATAATCTATATGAAATTAGGGTGATATTGTAACCTTAATTACATGGGACTTACTGCTAGTGATTGACTACTTGTATAGTATAGTTTCAGTTTTAACTACATTTTCAATGCCCCTGTCTCAGCACATCAGCGCCCAATACTTATTACAGTAGTTGAATTGTGAGCACATATGAGGCAATAGCCACCAGCTTCATGAGTCAAAGTTCATGTTTGTACCTTTAAATCAGTTTACTGCATAAGTAAGCTGATGTTAGTGTCAGAAGTATCTCATTTCTCAAAGTGGAGATCTCAAGCATTGGATGTTTCAATTATATATTTACTTTTGTTGGGGGGTGTATGTCTTAAGTGTATTTTCCAGATACTTTTGTTATTATAGTGATACTTGAAACTAGCACTGCCAGTAACAGTCAGGTTATTAACAATAAGGGTATGTCAGTAACAAGTGTGCCAGCTACAATTACTGCCTGCATTTGCAGATGATAACCATTTGTAATGCCATTTCATTCAACTCTCGGTGCTTGTGTGTGTGAGGAACTGAGATATCATTCCATTGTGGAGGCTACTTTAAGCTAACACATGATCATAAGCCACATTTATGAACTTTGTTGGAACTCCAACAGATCTAGTTGAAACACCAAATACACTTTAGCCACTTCAACACCTAAATTTGAAAATATGGCTCCTTGCCTTGGAAGTGTTGTTATGACTTTGTTTTGAGAGGAATTTTACGGTCATGGTGCGCTGATGTTGCTCGTGATTTCAATGATCTCGTACACTGATGATTACTGTGAGGCTCATTGGAGGTTCATCACTGCCAATGTTAGGAAGCCAATAGTGTACCCACTGCCTTGCATACAAGTGAAACTAATGTTAATTAATATTAATTTATTTTGCTGGACCATGATGTGAGAAGACGCGTGTTCCTTTAGCATAGGGCCATGGAAGGTTTGTGCTCTTCTAATTTCAGAAATGATCATACAGTACTGCATTTGTTTTTCACTTTAAAAGTGAAATTTTCTTTGGAAAAAGAAATATTGTAATTCACATGAATGGCAAAATATAGTTTTCTTTCATAAAAAATTTACCTTTGCATTGAAAATATTAACATAACTAAATAGAGTTGTGAAAGAGCATAAACTTTGAACCTCATCCGGCCCTATGGTACAGTGTGTAGAATAAATGTGACAAGCGGACATTCTATTTTATTGTTATCCTTTTTTAATAGCTGATGCAAATTCATCTATGTATGTACATCTTTACATGTTCACTGCATTTCCATTCTTTATTTTCAACTCATTACTTTGTTCAAATTCAACTTAACTTTCTCTTCCTTTTCACATCCTCCAAATTTTTTTTATTAACTACAGCACTGTCATTTGTAAAGCATATTCATATACCATTTTACTACCAGGTAGTAGGCAGCTATCAAACAGGGAGGCATTTAATCAACTGGCAACTCCCAAAAGAAAATGCATTATCAGGCAAACTTCCCAATTAATGGCATGTTCAACTAACATGAAATTGTCCAGTTGGTCACAGACCCAATTTTATTATTATTTCATGACATTTAAACAATAATCACCCCATGATGCTGAAACCTTCTCAGTTGCAAAAGTCAGAACTGGCTGAAAAAGTTTGAGCTGCTGTCTTTATTGATGGCTAGAAGACTTTCCCTCTAAGTGAAAGGAAGAATGTATGCAGCTGGTGAGAGAAGTGTGATGCTGTACGGCAGTGAAACATGGGCAGTTGAAGAGGATGACACAAGTAAGACTTGAGCGAACTGATATGAAAATGGAGTAGTGGATGTAATGTGACACTGAAAGACAGGAAGCCCTGTTCAGAGCTATGAGGGTGACTGGGTATTGAATGTAGTCTAGTGTGGTAGCATTATGTTAGTGTTACGGTCCATGCATTACTTGCTTCCTTTCATTTTCAGCTACCCCCGCTGGCTAGCTCTCCTGGTGAACAGGAAAGCAGCCTTGCATATGTCTTCCCCTGCCAATACACAGCCTCTTTATCACAAATCCTGCTCTGCCTCCTTGTGACAACACACGGTAACCGAGTGCCTTGTGGCCCCAGGCTAAACCAGCAGGGGATCTCAAAGCAGCAGTGGGTCCCAGATGTAAGGCACATAAACCCACCGGCATGTGGACATGTCCTGGCACCTACCAACCACTGGCCCACTGCCTTGCGGATTAACCCTGAACAAAAAATCTGCGATGGAGCCCCGCATCAGGCAGACATGCTTACAGAGCTCCAGTAAGAACCCAACGGCGAAACAGGTGACCAACATGGGAAACCAACTACTACACCAGTGGATGAAGGCAATGTAAGATGGACAGGCTACTAAAGCGAAACCCAACAAACTGGGCTATTGGCAGTCCATTGTAACTTCCCTCTCCCCAGTTGTTGCAGCTACCTGCACCACTGGATCAGGAAAAGGGATTTGTGGTTACAGCCTGCGCTCCTGCCTTACCACATAATCAACTCACGTGCAGCCATCATCCAGCTAATCATCATCATCATCAGAACCCCTAAACCCCCAAAAGTCCTATGGCAACAGACAAGTGCAGATGCGGACTGTCGAGAGTCTCTAGTCACAACTTTGCACATGGGCGGCATCAATAAGATGGTCGTTTATGCACTGGGATCTGGACAGCAGTACAATCTGGTCCTGTCTGTGTATAATGCATGTGACAACTTCTGTCAAGATTTAAGTCATCTAGAATTCCCTTTTGAGTAAAACAATTTTTTTTTTCTGATCTGGAACTGTCTGTGAATTTTTTAAATCTCTCCTGTATTTTGAAGGAGTCATCAACATATACCCGATTGAAAATGATAATTGGTCACAATGGGACATGTCAGTTGTTGAGTCAATCACGATGCCCTAATATTTGGTCTGATGAACTTCAGCTAGGACTGAACTCGGTAATCATCATTAAATTCTTTGATATAGTCATTCTGGCTTGTAGAACCTAGGTAAGACTGATTACCTTTAGCTTCACACAAGTGCTTGGCTAGTACAGCATCATACTTTCCAAGCAATTTCACAGAAAGCAATTTCACAAACTCCAGAAAATTGCCACCATTATTTACTCCTTCATGTCTTTCCACCTTTCCTAAGCACAAACTTTGTTACCCTATGGTCACAAAAAGGCAAACTATGGTTGGACAAGAAAAGTTACATCCAACAACTGATGCATGACATCTCTGTTGTGCTGAACCGTCTTCTCATTTGCACTGGTCGCTTTTTGACAAACAGTGGTGGCAGTCTCTAGTCTGTACAGTGCCTGCATTTCAACAAGGCTGTTACTGCATTGACATGGGCATTACCCATCATGCAACCTAACCAATATGTTTGTCCAGCTTCAGGGAGGAATGCTAACTCAACGGTTCAACACTAGTAAATAAGACTCAATTTATGTTTACATTCCTTATTTAATGCTTATTATTCATGTCTGCTTTATTTTCTTGCGTGACAGTGTGCATGACAGATATATCAAGGGTAGATGGGAATTTTTTTTGAGGGGTGGCCAGTCCCTAACTTCTCAAATTTATGTTCTTATGGGATTAATTGCTTTGATAACCATTGATTCAGCAACTGTCGACTTTTCACAGTCCATGCATATGCGTCGGTTATCAAGGTATACCTGTACAGTAGTGAGGTTGTGTTCAGCACACTTGCTGAAGAGGAGTAGGCTGTTTGGATTATACTTGCCCCTTACGGTTCTCTGCCAAAGACAACATCTCTGCCAACTCTGGCATTGAAGTCACCAAGGAGCACAACCTTATCTTCTCTGGGGAAAGAGGTAAGCACTCTCTCAAGGTCGGCATAAAAGGCCTCCTCGATGTCATTCTCTGCATCCAGTGTTTGGGCATATGCACTGATGAAGAAGACATAACGTGAGTATGTAATTCAGTGGGACTTGCAGTGTCATGAGGTCCTCATTGACTCCAACAGGTACAGTATTTCAGTTAGCTACATCACCACCACCAGAGGACAGGAGGCTATATCACCACCACCACCAGTTGACTGAGGCTATATTACCACCACCACCACCAGATGACTGAGGCTACATCACCACCACCACCACCACCACCAGGTGACTGAGGCTACATCACCGCCACCACCAGATAACATGAGGCTTCATCACCACCACCACCAGATGACTGAGGCTACATTACCACCACCACCACCAGATGACTGAGGCTACATTACCACCACCAACACCAGATGACTGATGCTACATCACTGCCACCACCACCACCAGATGACAGGAGGCTACATTACCACCACCAACACCAGATGACTGAGGGCCAGGTTGGGCTAGGTGGGCCAAGGGTCAGGGTGGACCAGGCTGGGGCAGGGTGGGCCATGGTGGGCCAAAGTGGGCCAGGTGAACCAAGTGGGCCAGGGTGGGTCAAGTAGATTTTTCTACTTTTCGGGAAAGTAGTTTATCGACTTTTTGGGGAAGTAGATTATCAACTGTTGGTGAAATATTACCTAATTTTGCGAAGTAGATTATCATAGAAAACGGGAAATTTGTAATATAAAAAATGGGAAATATCTACTTTCCGGGAAAGTAGATTATCGACTTTTTGTGGAAGTACAGTATCAACTTTTTGGGAAATATTACCAAATTTTTCCAAGTAGATTATCATAGAAAACAGGAAATTTGTATCATAAAAATGGGAAATATCTACTTTCCGGGAAAGTTGGTTATCTACTTTCCCGAAAAGTAGATATATTTTCTACTTTTCGGGAAAGTAGATTATCTACTTTTCGGGGAAGTAGATTTTCGAATTTTGGGGGAAATATTACCTAATTTTGCGAAGTAGATTATCATAGAAAACGGGAAATTTGTATCATAAAAAATGGGAAATATCTACTTTCCGGGAAAGTTGGTTATCTACTTTCCCGAAAAGTAGATAGATTTTCTACTTTTCGGGAAGTAGATTATCGACTTTTCGGGGAAGTAGATTTTCGAATTTTGGGGAAATATTACCTAATTTTGCGAAGTAGATTAGCCTATCATAGAAAACGGGAAATTTGTATCATAAAAATGGGAAATATCTACTTTCCGGGAAAGTTGGTTATCTACTTTCCCGAAAAGTAGATGATTTTCTACTTTTCGGGAAAGTAGATTATCGACTTTTCGGGAAGTAGATTGTGGGGTATGAGATGTTTGGTTCACACTCAGGATGGGATGGAGAAAGGAAACTCACAATGTGCTCTCTATATACATGTTGTATTGGATGTACAATGCAGCTTGGTGCTGGGAAGGCAGCATGGTTACAAGCGTGATGTAGAGAGAGCTGGTTGGTGAGGACGCTCAGAGAAGGACAGCTTGTGGGTCGCCATGCTCGCCAGCGGGAGAGAGGACCGCCAGGCAAGGAGCCCGCCAGGCAGCGGCGGGAGGAGGCGGAGAGGTGTTGCTGGCTGGTTGGTGTAGGTAGAAAGAGAGGCAGATCACCACGAGGTCAGGTCTTAAATAGCGGGGGTAGGCGTGGCTTAGCAGTTGACCCCCGCTCCGTGGTGTATGGCGGCGCTGGTTGACCTAGACCACGAGGCATACACTGGGGAATTGGTGGGGTCGGCTAGGCAGCGACAAACAGCGTTTGTAGGGGAGAATTCCACTACAATACTCCCCCTTCCCTCCAGGCTGTGTAGGAGACTTGTTGTCTGCAGGGTTGCATAGCACATGTGAGGCAGAACGGGCGGTGCGTGCCTCATGTGAGACAACGGCGATGGCGTGGATGAGCCGGTCGCTGGGGACAACTGTCTAGATACACAATATCTGTGGGAGTAGAGAGGGAGAATAAGGGTGTGTGGAGGCGATGAATTTTGTGCTTCCCTCACGGCAGGTACAGAGTCGTCAGATGCGCCTGCTGGGGTGTGTGGGCCTGGGTCAGGAGCAGGGGCTGTGTCAGCAGCAGCGGATGAGGGCTCGTGACAGCAGCTGGGTCCACAACAGCAGCAGGGTGCAGGACATTAGCAGGGAGTACCTGAGGGAGAAAAGAGGGGTGTGTGGGTCCGCACTCAGGAACAGAGGCCGCATCAGGGGCGGCAGGGGTTACTGCTGGGCCGGGGTCGGCGTCTGAGGCAGGACGGGTGTGCTGGGGTTGGAAGAGGAGCGACTGTCTGCTTAGAGTAGCAGAGTTGCTCTAGGGTGTCTGACCTGCGGTGTAGAGA